TGTTCAATACCGACTCCTATTAAAAATTGACCTCTGTTACATGCGCATCAGCTGCTAATATCGCCTGCAGAGATTTGTTGCTTTCAGTAATATTTTATAATAACCATGGTACTTTCCAATTGTTTATATTATTTATATTCGATATATATTTATATATACCACAACTTCGATTTGTGTCGGAATAATCACTACCAAATAGATTACGTAAATTGCACTGATTTCGTCTATTTTTTCGTGTGTATCTTCGTTTTATATATATTTAACTCCTGCGTAGTTTCGGCTGTTAAGTCTGCACGTAAACTGAATTGCTCCGAGAGCGTGGGGACGGCATAGCGCGGCGGTGCGTTCACCCGCTACAGATTAATTAGCCCAAGCCCAAGACACAGCGTGCGGGCGGCGAGAATGCGGGCTGCGTAGTGACCTGCTTAACTCCGACCTACATAAACAATTTTGCATGCGTGTCACACTGCAACCACATTGACCATGGGACCATAGAGCCCGACACTCTTCTTCTTCTTCTTCATACTGCGGTAAACAAACTGTGGCACACGCGCCCAGGACCTCCGGAACCCGCAGAACATCAGCGTTCCAGTTAATGTGTTACTTTCGTCTTAAGAACGCTCCCTTCCGTTCACGGTGCTGCACTGACCCTTGAAACTGAACGGTAACTGTCTCACCTGCTTCAACAACAAATAATTCTTTGTTTGTATTTATGGATTTCGTAAAATTATCATCGCAAACAGCGATTCTTTCATTAAAAGCATTAATTATTTTATGTTTATAACGGTGAAGAGTTATGTTTTCTTCGCGGTACGGACCGACATCTTAAATGATATTTAGATCTGCTTCGCCTTTAACGTCTACAGCGCCCAAATCGGCCCCAGCTAAGCCTTCTTCCTAACAGGAGAACTTGGGTCCTGACTCGAACCACGATGTCCGAGGCTCAGGCTACGGAGAAACCTACCCCCACTTCATCCGACATATGAAGACGGACCGAGCGGCAAGCTGCCCCGACGGGTGGCACGTGTAAGCCCACCTGTCCTGAAGTGTCGGTGGTGAACTTCCAACCACCCCGATCCAGAAAGACTCACCCCCTCCCAAGTCAGCCTGCGTAGAGTTGACACGCCGTCTTCTATCCGCAGCCTCCACCCTCCCAGCGGGGGAGGATCGCCTCCGAGCTGTCCTTTAAACCGTCATCCTTTTCATACTTCAGCAGGGCTGTCAGGCCCACGACAGACAGGGGAAAGTCCAGGCG